TTTGAGTAAATATCTCTAAGAAGTTGCAGTATCTACAACTTGTTTTTCAAACCAGGCAATGCCGAAACCAGATTTGAACAGGAGATTTTTATGTGGGTTTCCCAAGTAAGTCTGTCGGTCTTGTCTAATCGTTTAAGCATGATATAACATGTTTTGGGGTTTCAGTAATTTTATACTTCAAGTAATTTTAACCAATATGAGATAGATACAACGTTTGAAATAACCACAGCATAATGGCAGCCTTCCACATTCGTCCAACATTGCAACATTGTTCGTACAACTATTAACGCCAAGTAGATATCTGCAAAATGTTGTCTGTACCCTCTCGATTTCCGAATTTTCGTACCCCCATATCGCTACCATAAGAAATAACAGGTACAATGATTGCATCAAACAAATTAAATGCACTAACCAATGGCATACTACCAAGTTTCTTACAGTATGTAAATCTTTTGGTTCACTGTAAATTTGTTTTTATATGGCGGTAAAATAATATGCATATAGTGGCAGTTTAGCAGCGGTCTCAATAGACTTCAATGACTACATCTCATTTTATGAACCCACTAAAAATATAGTAAATTTTCCAAGACATAAAAAAAAATATATATTTGAAAAATATGATTCATCGCATAGTGTCAGTGCTGAAGCAACACTGTGGGGGTAAATTGTTGGCTGCAAGAAGCTCTTAGACCTGTACAACTCGTGATGATAAATCTTCGGCATTATTTTATTGATATGTTCAACCCGTAGCTGTACACTATTGTCAAATAACAGAGGCTACACGTACTAATACAATAAGATAACAATATTTGGCTGATACACTTAGAACAAAACCATATATATGCCATCATTAACTTGAAGAATACAAAACTAATGAACCAAACTAGGAAAGTACAGTGTTGTGTTGTCGTGTCAATCCCGTTCGATCCCCACACTTTACTAACTGAGTGAACAGTAGCACAACGACCCTATTCAGGACCACCGCATCCTTCAGAGAGTGACTACCATTACATTATTGTTTCAATGGTGTTTTAATATTTAACATCAGCTGCTTGAACGCGATCTTTACACCATCGCGGAATCACCGAATAAAAGCTTGCCTATTTATAACAACTTTTTATTTGCTGCCGCTGTTGAGCTGAGACGGCGTAACTTCACGATTGACATTTGAAGCTTGTTTCCACCAAAATGCTCATTACTATGCAATTTCGGCTGAGTCTGTTAGTTAGTCAAGTGATTTAAATGATGATAAATATTTTTACTAATACTGTTCGTTTTATTATGTTCTAATCTACGATGTAATCTACGATTCACTTCCAAAATTTAGGGGGTTCGTTCGAACCCCTCGAACCCCCCCCCCCAAACTAATGCCTGACCACTGTGTAAATCATAGCCTGTGTGTACCTGTATATTATTGTTAATTATTATTTTCCCCATATTTTATTGGTCTCAAGCCATGAGTCGGTTACCAAAGTACATAGAAGCTGATGATGTGAAGCGAATACTAAAGATGACTGACTTGATACCAATTATAGAGAAGGCAATGGGAGATTTTTCTAAAGGAGAGGACGGTGGTGTAGTACAGCCTGTTAGGAGCATTATACCAGTTGAAAAACATGGCGGGTAGGAACTATTTTTATCTCAAATTGTTAAAATTGGAGATTATAGAACTTAGTATCCTTCAAAAAAGAGTTTATCAAGGATATTATGTCTCTTGCATTGTGAAATGGCCTTGATTTTTCAAATAAACATGGTAATTATTGACCAATCAGAAGGATGGGATTCAGATTAAGCAAATAAGGGATGAACCATTTTGAATTATGGGGTGGGCTTTTAAAACTGACTTGTCCTTACCTAACCCCAAATCATGACAGCTTTTTTATTTTTGGAAATACAAGTTTGGTATTAAATTATATTTATGAATTATTTTTCCCCAGTTTTTTTGGTGCAATGCCTGCTTACAGTGAAAATGATGCAGCATTGGCCACAAAATTGGTAACATTTTATCCAAAGAATGCAGGCACTGGCCTACCAACCCATATGGCTGCAATAATACTATTCGAACCTTCTACAGGTGAATTGAAATCGGTGAGTTGATATGCCCTTTAAATTATGTTCAGGAAATGATATACAGTGAAAATGTCCAGACCACTAATGGACATATTCGGAAAATTTCTCAGGTTAAAAAGATAAATATTATATTAATGTCTGGGAAGGATTCAAGATGGCCACCCCTATAGTAAATATTGGTATATTAGTTACGTGTATTATATTACCACATGTACACCAGCTGTATGATTTTGTTTAGATACTGGATGGTGAAGTAATAACCAGCATGAGAACTGCAGCTGCATCAGCAGTGGCAACAAAGGTGGGTGGAATATCAGAAGGTTTCTTAATATTACAAGGTTATTATGAGAATACAGCAAAGTATGCATCAAGGCAGTATGACAATTGTAACCACTAATGCATAACAGGAATCGGTGCATTCCATACTGCCTGACTGCATTCTTTGCAGTATTCTCGTGATAAACTTATTATTATACAATCAATCAAAAGTGTTTGAATGTGATGTATATTTTATGGATGAAAGAATTCTATTGCTTTGGGTGTCAGATGTATAATATTGAAGTGTACATTAAAATTTTGTGTAATAAACTTATTGTATGAATGTCATGCCAAATGTCAATATATATTACATGCACATTTTGTTAGTCCCTGTTCGTACGTAGTCCGAAAACAGGGACTTGTGTTTTGTCCTGTGTGCGTCCGTGCGTCCGTGATCACCTGTATCTCGAACATGCATGGACCGATTAAGTTCAAACTTCACTCATAGATCATATATTATATGGGACATATGCACATGCATTTTTTCATGATCTCATTAGCGATAGCCAAATGGCGGCCGCTTTAAGGCCGAAAATGCATTGAAATCGCACATTTTCACAATTCCGGACCCAGATCTCAGTTATGCATAGACGGATTTTGTTCAAATTTGGTACATACATTAAACATAATAGGACCTTGATGCACGTCATTTTTTTTTTCCGGATCAAGTTCAAAATGGCCGACTGGCAGCCATTTTGTTTTAAAGAATTCAGTTCTGGATTCGTATCCGAAATATGTCTGGATTGATCAAGTTCAAACTTCACACACACATGGTACATCATGTCACAAATAGATATGTGCATTTGTTTCATGATCCGCTTAACAATAGCTGAATGATGGCCATTTTAAGGCCGAAAATGCATCAAAATCACGTATTTTCACAATTCCGGAACCGGATCTCAGTCATGCATGGATGGATTTTGTTCAGATTTAGTACATTGTGTTGTACATATGCAGGTGCATTTCGGATCAGACCACTGAAAGTGGTCTGAGATTTCGGTCATGATCTGCTTTGAATGTATATAGTAGTAGTAGTCCAGAGTTTTAAATCCGGTTTGGTCCCCGAAGACGAGGGTGGCCGGATTCACCTTAAACTAGTGGCAATCGCTCTTACCCCCTCCCTCCACTTTGCACGATTTAAAGCATCCCTCATCCTCATCCCAACCTTCCCACTCTCCTCCTCTACTTGCATCTTCCACGTCTTCTTTGGCCTTCCCCTTTTCCTTGGACCGCTCACCTCTAAATCAAGGGCCCTTCTTAATACATGCATCCTCCCTCCTCAGCACATGCCCGTACCAACGTACCCCATTTGCCTTCGCCAACGATCTACGCTTCCTTCAAACCCACATCTGCATCAGTCC